TGATGCTGCGACACGGGCACTCCCTCTGTTCCTCAACACACACAACAGAGTAAAAAAGTTCTCAGAAAGGCCATAATGTCTGAGACCTTCCACTGGCACACGGCAAAAGAGAAGCCAGAAGGCTTAAGAGAACCAACTTGTACACACTCCACCTATTAAAATGCGTCCCTCCAAAGCCCCGCCACAACCGCTGGCCCTTCCCTCGGGACTCCATCTCTCCTGGAAACCATGGAGTCCCTGGTGTATCAACCACTCCTCTGGTCTCCCACCACACCCTTTAGTCTTTATTCTTCTACTAAATATTTAATTTGTCAATCCAACCGCAAGCTTCCAGAAGGTAGCTCCGGACTTCAACGTCCCCTTCACTCTGTAGCAGAGTGCAATGTCCCTACAGTCGGTATCCTACAGACAAATGCTAAAGGACCCAAGGTGACTAAATGCCCTTCCTGGGTGCTTGGGACGCTGGACTCCCACTGGCCAAAGCTAGACAATGGCTCTGCTTTGAAGAATAAAGGCAGCTCAGTTACAGAGCTGGCGCACTCTGAGACATCTGGGGGCAAAGGGAGGGAGTCCACGCTTAAGCTCTGTCCACCCACATGGACCAGAGCCATGCAATCAACTGGGGACTCGCCTGTGAAGTTAGGGAAAGAGCGTTCCGCCTGCCAACTTCCTATGGGAACATGTCTGTGAACACGCGTCACCGTGATTTACAGTGATGGCAGCCCATGGAATTGCCGCTGTAATACCAGAGAGGAACAGCATCGCCTCTGTGAACCCCAGCATGGCCTCCTGCGCTTCGGTGGGAAGCAGGGCTTTCTGGGAGTGCCGGATCCCGTATGGAAGGGACCCAGCCTGGCCGGGCTCTTGGATTTCCATCATCCACATCTCACTCAGTATCTCTGGTAAGAGAATGACGGGGTCAAAGGAGCACGTGACGACGGAGAGTCACGAGGCGTGAGTGCTAGTCCCCCTCTGTCACCCATGTCCTGTGCTCCCCTCCCTGGTCCCCCTTTCCAAACCAAGGCCAAATCATCTCTGCACGCCCATCCCTGGTGGGCATGCTAGGGGTTCCAGGGTAAATGCCAATGGCGTCAGTGATAAACACACGGTCCACTTCCTGTCCTCCAGGGACCCGTTCACTCTCAACGGTGGGGTTTTCAGGGTTCTGAAGCTCAGGCAAGCGTGGCAAATTCCAAAACACCTGCTTTAAATAGACCCATGAGGTCAGAACCTCCCTGAGGTCCACTGAGGTTTCATGACACGTGACCCCAGAAAGGGAGTAATGTACACTGTCACCCTATGCTGGAAGGGATCTTGGCCCTAAAACAGAAAGATCAGCACTGGGTATATTTATAAACTCCGATCAGTGTGAACCAATGTGGGCTTGGATTTCACTGATGCTCAGACATCAAATGCAATCAAGAATGTCTTGGTCTGTGATTCCTGAAGAAAAGAGAGTAGCTAAGAGGAGGCCCTGCCCACATATGCTTCCTGTCTTACGAGGAATAAGGAAAATATCTCAATTAAAAGAATATTACTAAGGGGAGATGGGTAGAGAGATGGTTCAGTGATTAAGAACACTTGCTGCAGCCAGGTGTTGGTGGCGCACGCCTTTAATCCCAGCACCCGGAGGTAGGGGCAGGCAGATCTCTGTGAGTTCGAGGCCAGCCTGGTCTCCAGGGTTAGTTCCAGGACAGGGTCCAAAGCTACACAGGGGAACCCTGTCTCAAAAAAACAAAAGAACACTTACTGCTCTTCAGAGGAGCCAGGTTTGGTTACCAGCACCTACACAGTGGCTCACAAACATCTGTAACACTACCTCGAGGGGATCCAACCTCCTCTGTGAACCCCAGGCACACACATGGTAGACACGTGGTGGTGGGGACACAAATGCACACAGAAATTAATAACCCTATAAGAAAAAATCTAAAGAATGTTTCTACGACTGGGAATGTCAGCAAGGGAAGAGATGTTTCCAGGACCAGGGCCGTTTCCAAGTCTCCTTTCTCTGCTTGGTTTTAGTCTGCTCACCTTCCATGTGAGGAAGATACTTCCTCCACCTCTGACTCTATAACATCCAATGCTCCATGTCTTTCCTGGTGACACAGAAAAGTAAAGAATGTCAAAGAACTCTCTGCATTGGGCTTCATGTTCTCAATCCATATCCCTTGGAGACCGCAAGGCTACTTTGGGATGCTCATGGTTCAGGGAAAGCTTCCAGCCTCCGGAAAGCAAAGGACTCAAGACATTCTGACCAACCCCACAGTAGCACTTGGAATCTATGAAGAGCATTCCCTTGAGATTCTAACAAACTGCCAGCAGTTAGCACTGGGCATTTATAAGCACTGATGTCTCTGCACACCTCAGGACAATGCAGAATCAACCTGTGCCTGCCCAGAGGCATTCAGAGACCTCTGCTCATGGAGAAGAAATACAACACGCTAGTCCAGGCAGCTCCGGGGTTTCCAAAAGGACAGAGAAAGCTGGCGTGACTGAACAGGTGGGGATGAGGGACCGGTCCTGCATTTTACCACATCACCTCATTTAATCCTCCTGCCAGGTTGGCAATTCCCCTCCCCGTTCTTCTAAATGTTTCTAGCATCAAGGCTTGTTCGTTTGTACATGTATCAGCTAATGACCTAAATGACAAGTGCTGGGCCAAGAGTTGAAGAGACAATGGCAAGCCTAAGTAAGCACATCACCTGCTCTCATGGAGCTTATCAGCCTCATGGGGGAGGGCAGTGGTGGCGCACGCCTTTAGTCCCAGCACTCCGGAGGCAGAGGCAGGTGGATCTCTGTGAGTTCGAGACCAGCTCTTCTAAAAACAAGGCCAAAGAGTGAATCAGCTTACATATCCCAGCCTCAGGTGAGCGCCACTAATGCAGACATTTTACGGTTAACTGGGACCATGCACAGATTGGTTTGTATCTGCCACACAATCACACTACGTGGCAGACTGGAAGGTGTACTGCCCCACTTGAGAGCTCAGCAACCAGGCCATGTGAGATGGCTGAGGCAAGGTCTCCAAATGAAGAAAACACCCAACCCTGCAAAACCCGGCTGTGCAACACACGCGTCTCCAGTCAGGAAACTGAGCATCTCCGTGAGACAGCTCAGCTGCAGGTCCCTGAGGCTCGGCAACGTCACCCAGAACAATGATGGGGACATGAAGCAGCCCAGGAAAGGTTTCTAGAATGCAGCTCCTCCAGCCTGAGACACAGGTACTCTTGCCAACTCTCCCAGATTAGAACAGGTCCTCCTGGCCTCTTTCCAAGGGCCTCTGACTAACACAGAAAAGTATTTTTCCACTGCAAACCTGCAGGCGGGCAGCGGACTCCTGAGAGAGGAGGGCAGGGAGTTACCCCACTCCTGCACAGACCATCGGGGAAGTTACTCAGGCACCATGCAAACTGCCCTGGCTACAGGCCTGCCAATGGGAATGTCAGGCCCAGGCAGGGTGTATCCACCTTGACAATACAGGTACCTGACCTGCATTCCTTTCTTGTGCCAAGTGGGGAGCACCTCAGCATCTTGCAAAATTAGAACATTTAGCTGCATCTTTGACCTCCCCCCACTGGATGTCAGTAACAACCCCCGGCTGCCACAGCCAATCACGTCTCCAACCATTGCAAATGTCCACTGCAGGACAAGGGACACCTTCTGGGGAAGCTTCAATCTTGACACCTCGGAGAACAGAGGCAAAGTGCCCTGTCCAGTTCCATGTCTCTGGGGACATATGGTCATTGGACACACAACAGTAACACTAACACACAACAAACTCCACGTAAGCTGCTGTGTTCTATGGCGGTGCTCTACGGGAGCTTCGGGACAGACTCAGACAACTCTGTGTTGCGATCCCGCAAGGGAAACTTGTTCCCGTTACTGTGAGCAGCTGAATCTGATTAAAGAAGCTCCGGGAGCTTCTTCTCAATGACATCGGGCCGGGCCAAGGGCTGCTGCAAGGAGCACAGAGTGATGAATCAGGGTCATCCCAGACACCCCTAATTCAGCGTAACACCCAGATACCCAAACACCCCAGCTCGTAACCATTGTTGACCTGGAGGAAGGGGAGCAGAGCGAGGTGAGGTACGTACACAAGCAAGCTGAATTAGCAACTTAATTAAACAGCTGAACCGTTACCAACAAAAGCACGCTCTCAAGTGGAGGTGGAGACATAAAGCTGAGCTCCCAAGCAGCTGCAGTGAGTGACTCAGCACTGGCAAGAACGCAGCTGCCAACCTCCCGCCCCAGGGCTGGGCCCCTGGCCCACATGAGGTCCGCTCCGCTACAGCGATACAAGGACTTGTCTCTCTCCAGGTACGGGGGTCCCCTCACACTCCTGTGTGGTGGCAAGAGTGTCCGGCTGCACTGCAGTGTTAAGACTACGCGTAAGCCTCCACCTGTTAACACACAATCCCTCAGCCTACCGCTGCCCACTGTCTTGGGGAATGATGCTGAATGCTGCTATGGCCGCCTCTCCTACGGGGCTCCTTAAGGGCACATAGACAGACACTTATGGGTGGATGGGTGGGTGATGGGCACACAGGGGCCAAGGAAAGGTGAAGATGCCCAGCACGTGGTGGCTCTTAGGGACATCAGAGTCAAATCGGAGTTTAAGTCAGAATGTCACACTGGCTACCAGATCGATTTGAAATTTACCAATACTTCCTGGTGTTGTTTTAACTCATATGGAGGGGGGGCGGATAAAAATAAAGCCATCTCTTCAATCATGGCAGGCAAGGACTCTCCAGTACCTGGACCAACCTGTGGGTCGTGCTGGCTGGCTGCCATAGATGCACTCTCAAAACCGCAAGGACTCTTAGGAGCAGAACGAACTCACCAATCCAGCCTTGTATGTGTAATCCAGAGGGGGACGCCACAGCTGGCTGGTGGCAGGAGGTACCAATCTTTCACTTTTCAGTATGTAAAGTGCCCCACCCCATCCTTAACCCCAAGGCCTGCTGTCCTTACCAAGCCCAAATTGCCTGCTGCACCCTCACCTGTCTGAGCAACCAGATGTGTCCAGCCGCTCCAGAGGGCAGTGACCTTTTCACCCTGAAAGCAGCATGCATCTATTCGCTGGGGCAGAAGGAGGAACGCAGCCAGGGAAGCCAGTTGCCCATGCTTGTTCCGGCCCCAGGCATACAGCTCTCCTGTATCTGAAAGAGAGGGGGTCGGGAGGTAAGGAACATGATCCAGAAGGACGGGGACAACTCTGGAAAAGAAATAGCTAAAAAGGAATTGCTTCCTGCTTACACCACATAATTTAGTGTAGCCATACACAATATGAAATTTATGTGGAACATAATCAAAATTCTGTACATAACGCCTAGTATGTAGTGTATGTAAGGTGTGTGTGTGTATACATATATACATGTCTCTGGTGTGTGTGTGTACATATATATACGTCTCTGGTGTGTGTATGTGTGTATACATATATACATGTCTCTGGTGTGTGTGTGTGTGTGTACATATACATACATGTCTCTGGTGTGTGTGTGTGTGTACATATATATACATGTCTCTGGTGTGTGTGTGTGTGTGTGTGTGTGTGTGTGTATTCATTCATGGGGGCGGTATATGCACACATTGGAAGAAGATGGGGGGAATCACATATACGCATGAGCAGAGAGCCTGAAAGAGAGCATCAGGTGCCCTGCTCCATTGCTTTCCACCTTACTCCTTTGAGGCGATCTCTCACTGAAGCTGGAGTTGGCTCTCTGCCAAGAAGCCACAGCAACCCCCAAGTCTCCACTCCACACATGATAGGGTTATAGGTGTAGACATAACACAGCTTTTTATGTGGATGCTGAGATTCAAATTGAGCCCCGCATGCTTGCACAGCAAATGCTCTTGCTCACTAATCAGTCCACTTTGTTTTGTTTTTAATATAAGCATATATTACCTTTTGTTAAGGAAATGCTTAAGCTTTTAAGATAACAGGTTAGAGGATACACTACTTGGGGACTAGGGATGTGGCTCAGTTGGCGATGTTTGCCTGGTATACACGATCCCAAGCCCTGCATAAATAAACTGGGTGTGGTTATGCACACTTATAATCCCGGAACTCCAGAAGTAGAAGCAGAAGGATTAGGAGGTTAAGGTCATCCTTGGCTACATAGTTAGCTCAAGGCCAGCCTGGACTATAGGAGACATTGCCAAAAAATTCTATGCTATCTAAGCTTGAACGTTTTTTAAAAAATGAAATTGTTGGCCTGTACTTGCTGTCCACCAGAAAACAATGAGCTACCACTACCCATCGGGTGCAGGCCCTGAGCTCATCCGGGCCTCACCATAATCCCGAGATAGAGGCAGGCCCTGTGATGTAACAGGAGGAGAAGCCACTGCAGAGTCAAGTGACGCTACGCTGGCTGCTGTTCCTGGATCTGCTAACTAGCTGCTGACCTTGGGCAAATCACTTCCTCTCCGAGTCTTGCCCTCACCAGCTGCGTATGGAGGGGAGGGAGATACAAATGACGTCACTGCTGACCAGAGCGACTGGTGGGTGACCGTGGTAACCAAAGAGCACGTGTCTGTCTGAATGGCGCTCAAATTCAAAGGTAAGTTTTAGATGAAAGCCAAACAAAATGAAGCCAAGGCTGTACTTCAGCCCGGGAGACGCCAGTGCCAGGGTCTTCAGAGCCTTTGCAAGCTTTCCCCAGTCCTGGCGTGCACATGCGCTGAACAACAGCAGTAGCCACAGACACCTGAAGTGTGGCTGGCCCACATGAAAATACTCACCAGACAAAAGCATGCTTCATTAATAATGTTCCTATTATAGTAAGTAATATTTTGGATATTCTAAGTAAAATGTATTAATAAGATTAATTTTACCCGTGTCTTTCTTTTCTTTTTCTGGAATATGGTTCTAGCACTGTCCCAAAAGTTACGTTAATCAGGGCTGAGAAATGTTAAAAGACTCTAAGATCACCTGGCTAACAAGGACTCAGCCCACAGAAGCAGGAGGAGCTGGGCCTGTTTCATTTGGTGAGTTCCCTATAGAGTTCACAGCACTGCTTGCCCTACAGTGGCCTCACAGTCCCAAAACTGACCAAAGGCCAAGCTGGATCATTACAGTCATAGCTCAGGAGTCCCCAAGTTCCATCTGACACTCACTTGATGTGGGACACGGGACACAGCACACCACCATTTCCTCACCTCTAAGGGGAGGATGTATTGAGTGACCCAGCTTCCACCACGTGTGGCCCTGAAACACTGACATTCTACAGGTCTATGGTGTGTATCAGGCCTTCATCGGAGTGCAGAGATCTAAGAATCCCTTACAGGAGGGCAGAGCATCACCCCTCGCTTCACATGTCCACATGTCGCTGGAGAGCCACAGAGGCGCCACCAGTGTGACTCAGGTATCTAAGCCATCCTTTTGAAAGGCAGACCGTTCCACGGGGATAGCTACACTGTTGCATCAGCAGGTCAAATTAAATCCTGCTGCAATGCCAAATGGTTACATAATCTACAAGGACTCCAGCGAAGAGGGCTAAAGAACATGGAGCAAAATCCAATGTGTTAGCAGCCGGAGCAAGATGACAAAAGAGGGCTATTAATCTTGACAATTTTTAACTCACTTTCGAAATATCAAAACCAATTCACTCTGTGACTATACTAAAAATGATTAAGTGGACACTTTAAGATGGTGAATATCATATATAAATTATAGCTACACACACACACACACACACACACACACACACACACACACACACACACCAATCCAATCCCTGTATAAAAAGCACCACAAAAAAGTGTAGGAAATAATAAATTTAGCAATCATATATTTTTGTTCTTTTTTTAAAACTTGACATTAGCAGCTAATTCAATAACTTCCAAGTTTGTATATCATCAGTCATCTCAAATCAATTAGGGGAGAAATGAAATGAATGTCTCTTACTCCAAAAGGACACTGTCCCCATCACTGGCTTGGGCTGAGCAGAGCACCTGCAACCCTGTGTCCCTAGGGTCACTCATTGCCAGCACGCAGCTGGACACTTTTGCCAATCACCAAAGGGAAAGGCAGGCTGCAAATCCATGGCTTATAGTCAGCTGGTTAGTTGTTTTAGACTCCATGAATACGACTCTATTGGTAGCTCAGAATTTCTTAAGTATTTAAACTTTCACAGTCAACACCAATAGCTAGTTGTTAGCTTGGTGGGACCAGGTGAGTTTGGAGGCTGTGAGTTTACAGACGTGTATACACATGAATTTCCACACAAGACACCGGACATACTAGTGTAAGAGTCACCACTTAATGCTTAAAAATGGGAGGCATTTAGCTCTGTGTGAAAGGCCTAACACAGAGAAGTCCCTCAGAGGTGCAGGATGCAGTCTACCCTGCCCTAGCGCGACAATACAGTCAGAGGGAAGGAAGACCTTCCCGCACGAGAAAATGATGCATGGCTTCCTGAAGAACGGTCACTGGAGTACTTGTATTGCATGAGGCGAGCACTGATGGAGAGTCAGAAAACTGCAATGTAACCCTAGAACTCGGAGAGGAGAGCAAAAGAACCAAGAATCTGAAGGCCAGCTCTGAGTGTGGTGTGTGTGCATGTGAGTGCATGTGTGTGTGTGTGCGTGCGTGTATGTTTCCTGTATGTGTGTTTCCTGTGTATGTGTGTGTGAGTGTATATGTGTTTCCTGTGTGTGTGCGTGTGTGCATGTGTTTCCTGAGTGTGCGTGCGTGTGTGTGCGTGCGTGTGTGAGTGTGTGGGTGTGTTTCCTGTGTGTTGCATGTGTGTGCGTGCGTGTGTGTATATGTGTGTGAGTGTATGTTTCCTGTGTGTGTGTGTGCATGTGTGTGTGAGTGTTTCCTGTGTGTGTGTGTATGTACGTGTGTGTGCGCGTGTGTGTTTCCTCTGTGTGTGTGTGCATGTGTGTGTGTGAATGTGTGGGTGTGTGTTTCCTGTGTGTGTGCATGTGTGTGTGCATGTGAGTGTGTGCGTGTGTATATGTGTGTGAGTGTGTGTGCGTGTTTCCTGTGTGTGTGTGTGTGTGTGTGTTTCCTCTGTGTGTGTGTTTCCTGTAACCCGGGCAGGAGGGTTTCCATAGATGTGAAGCTACCTTGGGTTACATAGTGAATTCCAACCCAGCCTAGGCTGCAGAGTGAGACTGTCTCAAAAGCAAAACAAAACAAAGGAGCTGTATGCTATATGGTCAAGTACTTGCTCCCTAACATTTTGGTCAAGAATGAGCCACATACACAATGGTACCCATCTCACATAGTCTAGGTGTGCAGTAGACTGTACGTCCTTGATGCTCAGGCAGCGACACACCCCCATCACCGAGCAATGCACAGCTATATATAAGTTTACTGTTGATTTCATGATCTGCCCATCACAATTCCCCCAAGGGAAAGATAATCATTTCCACCCTGTATAACTAAGAAAATGTAAGTGCTTTATATGTACTATCAAATTAAGTTTTTACAGCTACCAATAAAGTGTTCTGCGGATGTGGAGATGGTCTCAAAAGATAAAGTAATTTGCCTAAAATTACAGCAAGAATGGTGCCAAAACTGTCACTCCAAGATTTACACCTTCCCCTGACTGTCTCAGCTTCACGCCAGACCATGGAATACAGGAATCTGAATGGCACACCCAGCTCTACAGAGCTGGAACCTACCTGTTAATGAGGCAGAATGGTCAGATCCCGCAACAACACATACTGCTGTAGAATTCTCTAGGCCTGGAAAAGAAATGCGTTTGTTTTCAGCTATATTTACGTCACAACACACTGAATGTAGAGAGAACTCTAGGGCCCAGCATTGCCTGAGGACGGGAGGAACCCCGTGCAGGCAAGTGTGAGCAACAGTACTGGCGGAATGGCTGGCGTGATATAACAGGGTTTGAGAAGCCAGTGGACTGAGGACAAAGTACCACAGGCCTTCCTATCACAGAGGAAAGGCACAGACGTGGTCAGCAGGAAAGCTGGAGCAGCCGAGCGATTATCAACTGGAACTGGGCTGATAAGTGTGAGTTTACGTTCCCAATAGAAGCAGACGCATAGCCAAGAGAAAATGCATGTGAAATGTGTACCTGTGTGCACCGTGTTTCCAAGTCTGCCTGCTGAGGAAGACTCAAGGTGAAAGAACTCCAACCTTTAGCAAGCACAAGCCAGGCCTCCTCAAAGCACACAGCAGAGCTCTCTGAACCTGCTTCTGACCTCCATGCCCAGCACTTTACCTCCCTGACGGACACTGCCTTCACCAGCATGGCAGAATCCCAACCCATCCTGTCAGAAGCTGGGGCAGCCTGTGGTAAATTAGGATCTAACCTGCAGAAAAACACAGCCCTCGTCTGCAATTATCTCTGGAAACTTCTGTTTTACTATGTAACTAAAAGGCATCTCACATCTTCAAGTGTTCTGTGCAACGAATAGGTCAAAGCAGAAGTTCCCAGCCAAACCCACCAGCAAGGAGACATGGGGCTTGGTGGTACCTCGGTGGCAAAGTAAGGTCGGGAGAATGCAAAATGGCAAACTATGAGGACCCCAAACTGATGAGCCATCCAAACCCATCAGAAAACTCCCCAGATAACTCGGAGCTTTCGTTCTAGGCAGATCCCAAACTGGCTGTTACGTTAGTAAACACTAACTTATGCCTTCTAGCTACTGGCCCTGTACTAAAACACTAAAACACAGAGAACAACACTCCACTCTTCCGCTCGGCACGGGAGAAAAATGGTGACCGTCCACGCTTGAGAGAAAATGGTGCTATCCACAAGGAGAAGGCAATGGAGGCCAGATGGGGAGTCTTCCCTGAGAGAGCCATGTCTGAACCAGACCTTGAGGAAACCCCAGGGCTTTTCCAGGGACAGAGGAAGGAAAGGCATTCCAGCAGAGCTGAGAGTCCGTGTAAAGCACAGTGGCAGTGGCAGGTCCGGCCGGAGTGACCGTCTTGCTGAGGGAAGGAGGTGGTCTGGGAAGTGAGTCCTGTGGGACACATACACACGCACACTCGCACACAAATAAACACATAAACAAATAAATAGTGTGATCTTAGAGCCTTTTTGAGGCAGCCAGGGTAGCACATTTACAACCCCAGAGTTAGGAGGTGCAGCAGGTGAGCTATTCAGGGACTCTCAGCCTGTGAAAGACCCTGTTTTGTTAAGGCCTCTGGACAGTGCCAGAGGAGCAACAGTCGAGGCTGTCCTCCGGCCTCCACCTTTACATGCATAAATATATACAGACATAGCCACACAAACCCAGAACCATCGAGCGTGCTTGTACCTCACCATCACTGTAGTCTATCCTCTGTCCCCAACCCTTCCCAGTACTCTCCAGTCACTTTTATTCGGAGTTCGGAAGGAGTAAGTCGTACTTAGAGGTCTCCTGTAGCCAACCCTCGGTGATCTATCTGAGCCCAAAAGTAAGAGTGGAGCGGAGCGGAGCTAGACATGGTGCCATACACAAGGACAAAAAGGCCAACCAAGAGAGTGGAGAACAGAGCTGGCGGGGACCCAGGACCTAAGAGCACAAGACAAAGAAACGAGGGGGCAGCCCCTATTGGCCAACTAAGCAACCGAAGGCCCACCGGCAGACCCGGAACAGAATGCAACCACCTACTGCGCTTGCCTGTGAAGACACCACGCCCGTTCCCTACGTCCTCACTCATTCCCCCGTAGAGGCGAGGGAAACGGCACAGCCCAGGCTTCTCTCCGCTTGGCCACGCAGGAAACTCAGCATGGCCGATTCTGTGCCGTCAGCCAGTTGCCTTGTGGGTAACTTGCATCTAGGATTCGGAACTTGCAGACTCACTATATTACTACATCCTGTTTCCAAATTCCTAATCATCTCTTCCAAGTAGATCCAGTCTAGAACTTCTCGTTGATCTCCACCTACCTACCCGGCATCCACCTATCGATCAATAGGTCTCAGACTCTGGCAGCAAAGAAGGTGACTTTTACTGGGGCCACCAAAGTCACAAAAAGACTGACATCCCAACCAACAGACAGACTTAGAAAGATCAAGAAATACCAAAGGCTTAAGGCTAGAGAGATGGCTTGGCAGTCAAGAGTACTGGCTGGGCCTGGATTTGGTTCTCAGCACCCACATGGCAACTCACAACAGGCTGTAACTCCAATTCCAGGAAGTGCAACACCCTCTTCTGGCCTCCCTGGGCACCCGGCATGCAAACGGTACACAGACAGGCATGTAGGCAAAACACACATACAGAATAAAGTGTTTAGAAAGTAACGAGAGAGAGAGAGAGAGAGGGTGAACCTGCACTCACCCGTTTTCTGAAGGCCTATCTACTTCCTCACAAGGTAACCAACACTATGAAGAAATGCGGAGCTCACCTGGCACTCTGCTTGGTTCCTTGGCTGTCAAAAACAATGGAAGTGTCTGCCCGGGACACAAGCGTCGGCCAGAAGATGCCAAGCCAGTGCCCCACTGGAACACGCTGCCGCTCACTTCCCGGCAGAGCCAAAAGGAAAAGAGAAAATAGATGTCAAGATTAGACCAGATTGCTGTTCGACCCTCACCGCTGTAGCAAATTCCCAGTGCAACCTCAGCCAATGTGAACACTACACAGGGACTTGGCTGCTCAAGGGCTTGCAACCCATCAAAGGGGTTGTTTTTCGGACAGTCTAAGACCACGAGAGAAAATTCCAATGTAGTAAAACTTCCTCTAGAAAGTCCCAGGCATTGCCCCACAGCTAATTCCAGAACGCTGCCTTGTCCATAGCTAACCTGAAATGAACCACAGAGACCATTGGATCCACAGTTTACATTTACTAGATGAGAAAACCGTGATCCAGAAGAGACTGGGATTCAGCCAAGGTCACATGGCGAATCTCGAGTAGAGAAAACACGGGTTCAGATGACACTCAAGGTAGTGCCTTTCTACCCCACCACGGTGAACTCAGAGGCTCTATCTACTGTCAAATACATGTGCATCTGTGGCAGCCATCGTTTCCGTAGAATGGCCACTTAAACCTGTGTATCCACATCCCAAACCCTACCCAAGGGCACAGATAAAATCCTATGCATTTGGCAGACAGTCAGATGTGCACAGCACGACGCTAACCCCACTGTCAAGGTCTGCTCCTCTGGACTGCTGCTCCTCTGGACTGCTCTACAGCCGGCATTCTCAGACTGCAACAAGACAAGCCTGCTTTATAAGAGCACTAAGAACAATGCAGTGCAGGAGAGGCCTGCGATAAACCCAGCGGATAAACCCAGGGGCCAAAGCTTCCCTGCTACAACTGGTGGATACGCCCATGGTGTCTCAAATAATGGATTACTCCCGTTGGAATTCCCCTCAGATAGTTCTTTTTAGTTTATGAGTGTTTGGCCTTCATGTATGACTGTGTACCACATGTGTGCCTGGCACCTACAGAGGCCACAAGAAGCTGTCGGTTCCCCTGGAACTGGAGTTCCAGAGCCATCACGTAAGGTCTTGTGCAAGAGCAGCCAGGGCTCTTAACCAGCGATTGTCTCTCCAGCCCCTCTTTGGAGTATGTTATTGGGAAATACGTACAGTGTAAAATGTACCACCTTCACCATTTGAAGTGTCTCACCCAGGGGTACCCTACAATCGCCAGGGTATGCAGCCATTATCCTTCCGGCTCCAAAACTGCTTCATCCTGCAACCCTGAAGCGGACTATACCCAGCCATCCCCATCCCTGGCCCCCACCCAGGGACTGTCACCCACGAATGGAACGTCAGCGTCTGCGCTTTCTAGGACAGGCTTATGCCACTCGGCGTCACGGTCATCTATGGAGGAGCCTATCAACAGCTCTGTACGTTTTTCAGGCTCATACTACTCCACGGGTGGGGGAGGGTGGGCGGAGGGGTCTTTCACGCCTCTCCTTCCCTTTTCCCTTTTATAAAATGCATTCGTCAAGCTGGGCGTGGTGGCACACATCTCTAATCCCAGCACTCAGGAGGCGGAGGATCTCTGTGAGTTCAAGGCCAGCCCGGTCTACATAGTGAGTTTTAGGCTAGGAAGGGCTATGTGAGACTCGTCTAAAAAATGAAAGTAAAAGTGGCTACAGTTAGTTACCTGGCACTTCTGTACTGCTTTCCATGCACCCGAACCACTCTACATGAAGACTGAAAGGGATGTGGTGGGCGGAGCCGCCTCAAACTATGACCCTCCCTTCCCACCTTACCTAAGACTTTCGTTTGCTGGCCTGTGAGCTTCTGCGGATTCTGCCCACCTCACCCCACAGACACACACAACCGTGAGTTGCTTTAGAAGGATGCTGAGGGCCTGAACTTAGGTTACACTTGTGCAGCAAACGCTTGTCCCACTGAACCCTCTCTCCAGCCCCATCGTCCTGCCGACCTCTAGGAAGATGCCCTGTCTATAAATGAGTAGTCACTGACACACAGCTTGCCGGTCACGCTCCCTAACCCAGAGAAGTGACATCTACGGGCATATAAAAACCTGTCCACGGATGTGTGTATGTTATTGCAAACAGGCTAGAACTAGAAACAAGCCAGACATTCCTCAGCGGGAAACTAGTTAAACAAACTGGCTGTTACAGACAGTACTGTGACCCACCCCACAACATGCAGGTGTGGCTTTGTTTGGAAACCGCATTACAGAGGTCGGGAAAGCTGGGTGGTACCTATGGGAAGTGAAGTTACGTCAATAGGGCCAGCACCTGTATGGATGAGTCAGGAGGGAGCTCTTTGCACAGATGAACACAGGAAAAGAGCCATCTACAAGCCAAGAAAACAGAGTCACCAGAAGCAAACTCTGATGACACTCATCCTGGATTTTAGCTTCTAACAGTGAGTTCTAGAACGTGAGTTATTTAAGCCATTTGGGTGACACTACTTTGTTACGACAGCTCCAGCAGGCTAATCCAGGGCTACATCCTTACCAAGCTACTCATCACAAAAAAAGGAATCAGTTATGGATACGCATGGCTAAGAGAGACCCCTGAAGGTCACATACTGTATGGGAGCATCGCAGAGCATTCCAGATGTGATAATACAGACACAGGAAACAGGAACGGCTGTCCAGGGCTAAGAAAGGGCTGGGGTCAGCAGGAAGTGAGCGCGGCCATCAACACCAGAAGGAGTGGCCTCGTGGTGATAATCCCTCTGCATCCTAACTATACCAGCATCAGCATCCTGGGTGAGCTACTGTATGTCAATCCTGCAAGGTGTCACCACTGAGGGGAGCTGGGAAAAACTCGTGGGATCTGATCTATTCAGTTTCTAGCAACTTCAAGTGGGTCTATAATTCTCCCGAAATACAGATTTCACTTTTTAAAAAGCTGTATGTGTATGAATGTTTTGTCTGTTCTCCACATGCATGCCTGGTGCCCATGGAAGCTAGGAAAGAGGGTCAGCTCTCCTGCTGCTGGAGTTACAGACTATTATGGGCTGTCATGTGGGTTCTGGAAGAGCAGTTAGTGCTCTTAGCTGCTGGGTCACTAGCTCACTTTAGGAGAAGGTTTAAGCAGCAGTAAGCTTCAGGAGCTGGCAGCACAGAGCTTCACCCTCTCCTCCCTGCCTCTCCTCTTCTGCCCTCACCCCACCCACATCTGGACTCACAGCATGGAGAGTTGGCAGCCACAGGAGAGGAACACTGAGTCCAAGAGGAGCATGTGCAGACATCGACACTGGAAGACACCCTTGAGCTCCCCTCCTGAGTACACTAGCTTCCCTCTCCTCTCTCTCTCTCTCTCTCCCTCTCCCTCCCTCTCTCTCTCCTCCCTCTCTCTCTCTCTCTCTCCTCCCTCTCTCTCTCCTCCCTCTCTCTCTCCTCCCTCCCTCTCCTCTCCCTCCCTCTCCTCTCTCTCTCTCCTCTCTCTCCTCTCTCTCTCTCCTCCCTCTCTCTCTCTCTCCCTCTCTCTCTCCCTCTCCTCTCCCTCCCTCTCTCTCTCTCTCTCCCTCTCCTCTCCCTCCCTCCCTCTCCCTCCCTCTCTCTCTCTCTCCTCTCTCTCTCCTCCCTCCCTCTCTCTCCCTCTCCTCTCTCTCTCTCTCTCCTCTCTCTCTCTCTCCTCCCTCCCTCTCTCTCTCTCTCTTCCTCTCCTCTCCCTCCCTCCCTCTCCCTCTCTCTCTCTCCCTCTCCTCTCCCTCCTTCCCCTCTCTCTCTCTCCCTCTCCTCTCCCTCCCTCCCTCCCTCCCCTCCTCTCTCTCTCTCCCTCTCCTCTCCCTCCCTCCCCCTCCCTCCCCCCCCCCTCTCTCTCTCTCTCTCTCCTTCCCTCACGTGCATAGTCAGTCTGCAAGTGTGGGCAGGGACATGTAAAGGTCAGGGTTGGGCCTTGGCGGTGTCCCTCCAGTATCTTCAATTGTAACTGAGATAAGGTCCCTCATTGGTCTGGGACTTCATCAGGCAGACGTGGCCAGATTGTCAGCGACCTCCAGGGAAGGCCTGCCTCCACGTCTCACCTCGCCATTGCTGGCATTACAGGTGCACATCACCATGCGCCACGTTTCCATGTGCATGGGTTCCAGAGATTTGAACTCAGGGCCTCATGCTTTCCAGGCAACCACAGTATCTACTGACCCATCTTCCCACCTTACCCCTCTTTTTCTAAACGTTGGGACCTTCAAACCAGGGCCAGAGTCCTATTTACCTTAATGCCCCTCCCTCCACCGCCGGCCCCACACTGTGCTGCTCACTCATGTACAGAAGACAGTGCACTTAAAGCTTCTCATCCAACAAACATTAAAATCCAGCAGGAAGGCAACACAGCTCACTGCAAAGTCTACACTGACGGTCCCTGGCTCTACCCGCCCCACTCACGCGTACTTCCACAAACCCTTCATGGGTAAGACTTTAACTCGCTCCTTGGCTGTGAGCACTAAAGGAGAGAATCAAATTATGAAACACCCGATTGCATGTCTACAGCAAAGAGAGCCAGACAGCTAGCTCACTTCCTTCCTCCCCCTGGCTAAAGGCACCGAGTGACTTCTACTTCAGGGTCTCTCCCTTCAGTCGGAGGTGCAGCACAGCAGGACCCTCGCCAACACTCCTTAGAAAGTTTTCCTCCTGGAGCTCTATTGCTCAGGATGGGCTCACTTGGGAAATAAAGGCTGAGTGGTCACCTGTAGCGGCTAATGCATGCCTCAGTCCAGCGGCGACACAAACAACCTTCTCTCTCAGGAGCTGTCCAAAGAAAGAACAAGGTTTAACCTCAGATCATCCATCGACAAAAATCTCATGTATGCATGTATAAACTCAATACAGGCCGAAGTACACCCATCCAATATGCTCACCAAAAAAAAAAAAAAAAATGCTTCCGTATTTATCAGCAGATCAAAGTGTGTGTTGCCCAAACATGAGTATGTATGTGTGTTGCCTATACATGAGTGTGTGTGTGTGTGTGTGTGTGTGTGTGTGTGTGTGTGAGTGAGTGTGTACACAGGAGGCCACAGGAAGACATCGGGGATCTTCTACTATCACCTTACTGCCTTGAAACAGGTCTCTCACTGACCTGGAAGCTCCCTATTTCAGCTAGGCTGGGTGGCCATCAGGCTCCCTCAGTGCTGGAGCTACAGGCACACACAGCCATCCCTCCCCCCACTTTTTCCCCCATATTTTCTCTCTGCGTGACTGCTCTTCCTAAACGTACGTGCGTGTACCACATGCATGCCTGGTGCCTGTGACGGTCAGGCCAGGATATCAGGTCCCATGGAACTGGAGTTACATATGGTTGTTTGAGTACCATATGGGTACTGTGAACTTAATCTTAAAGCTGAGACATCTCTCCATCCACTGCAGTGACTTTTTTTTGCATGAGTTCTGAAGATTCAAACCCAAGCCCTCATGCCTGTATAGCAAGCATTCTTACCATTAGGTCATCTCCCAAGCCCTGAAAATTAAATTTAAAAATGTCGCATCACGGTACCACACTGCACTACCTCTAAGGGGGGGGGGGTAGGGACCTCCAAAGTCATCCAGTAAACATTTCCCCCAAACAGCCAAATACCATATGGTTACTGCCGCACAGCTCAGCTCTGAGCATCCAACAGATACACATGAGAAATCATGGCTGTGCTCCAGTAAGACTTAAATAGCAAGGGTGTCAGTATTCCCCGCTGACCCAGTTCCATCCCTAGCCAAGGTGAGGAGCTCTTCCTTTAATGGTCACCGAGCCCCTGCCTCCGTGACACAGGGATCAGCGCCTCCCTGGGCACCGGCTCCATCCTCACACACACATCTCCATGCATCGCTTTAGGTGGAGCCAAACTCAGCTGCCGTTAGCGTCTGACAAAGCTTTCCAAATATTTGAAGACAGTTGTCATGTCCTCTCTAATACATCTTATGGCGGTTTTAAAAATAGGTCCTCAATTTCTTTGATACTACTCCCTTCGAGTCACAGAGCTTGAGTCCCCTCCCCTGTGTGGGCTGGACTTAGTGGCACACTTGTAATGGGAAGAATGAAGGTGCAGACTGAGCCAGCGGCAGGGTGATAAAGGGCACTGAGGTCTCTTAAGATGCCAGATGCCAGGTCTGAGCAGTGTACAGAAAGGGCCGCACAGCAGGAACTGTGACTCCCGGAAGGCACATCGTACGAGCTTGGCAGCGGGTACCCAGTCAGCCCATGCTGTGTACAGAGCTAGCTATATGTCTTCACTGCTGCGCTGTGAAAGACCAGCTCGGAAGGCCCAGTCCAGACCCTCGCGAATGATGGGATAATACTTATTTTAGCTAATGTCACGCTACAGTAGTTAACTAATAAATTATTTAGAAACATCCCAGCTGCAGGAGCTATCACTGAATTTCCCTCCTCTGGATGTGTTCTGGATTCCTCCTCCCTCTGTGGCCTCATATACCCCAGGCTGGTCTCAAACCCCTTATGTAGCCAAGGATAACCCTGAACTTCTGATCCTCCTGCCTCTGCCTCCCGAGTGCTGGGATTAAATGCATGCACCACCATGTCTAGTTTAGGCAGTGCTGGAGATTAAACCTAGGGCTTCCTGCATGCTGAGCTACATCCCTGGCCCTCAGTCACTCTCTTTTCAAGAACAGTGTAAAGGCTGAGAAAAAGTCTTAAGGACCATTATGCCTAGAGCCTGTGCACCAACACACAAGCGGATCCATCACACCAGATCAGTCTGACCGGCTTAAAGAGCAAGGCTCTGGCCTCCCTTCTGGAAAACGATACTTCTGACAGTGGTGTTCCCAACCACATTAGCCTCAGGCAAAATAGAATCTGACCGCTAATACAGTTTGAATAAATGGTTCTTTAAATGCATCTTCTTTCCTACCTTCCCCTTTTCTAAAAAACATAACCAATGGGCCAGGCCCATCTCTCTACATTCTTATCTTGTGTGCTATTCTACTACCCATGGGTCCCCACGCCACTCCAGTACGTCCACTTTTCCCTGTATCCCAGCCTGACCACCTGCTGATGGCATCCCAGATGCCTATCTTGTCTATGCTTCCCTATATACTTCGGCACTGTTCCTTTGGCCTAGAATGTTCTTCTTCGGCTCCTGTTATCCCCGGCCAGGGAAAGAAAGCTCCACTCAACTCTAAGGCGCAGGTAAACTTCGTGCTAGGTAAGAGTCCAATCCTCCTTCCTTGGACTATCTGAGCATCTGTCCTGATTCTAGCATGACAATGACACTGCATGTATTTACCATGTGCCACTAAATCCTAAATCCCTCAGGTGCTATGACAGGTCCAGTGCCCATCCGTGGCAGCTGCCATCCACAGACAAGAGTCTCCATCAGCTCTCACTCTAGTGTGTCTGTCCTATAGCCACATTCGAGCCAGCCCGACAAAATGTTCTTAGTTACTGACTCTGTCATCCAGCATATTTTAACCACTGTCCCTTCTTGTCTTCTTTAATCACATCAACTATAATTAAGCTAGATTAATTATAACATATGGAGGATCTTTCAAGGCCACCTATTTGCTCCTGGGACTTACAGGGGGAACCCAGGACTCTGTAGAACTAGACCAAATAACAGACCACAGGGCAGCAACTGAAATCCGCAAGATGACAGACCTGAACTCTCCAATGAAAGTGCATCCCCCCCCCCCAGGTGGCGGTGGGAAGCCGAGAAGTCAGATGGAACCTGAGGCGGCGAAACTCATTCTTGATTTCAGTGTATCTCCCGAAACTTTCCTATTCCCATCAGGACCATTTACAATATTATGCTTTTTATTTTTTCATTGCCACTTGACACAGACTAGGATCATATAGGAAAAGGGAACCACAGTTGAGAGAAAGCCTTTGTAAGACCAGCCTGTAGGCAAGTCTGTGGGACATCTTCTTGACTAACGGCTGATGTGAGCGGAGCCAGCCAACTGCAGGTGGCGCTACTCCTGGGCTGCCCCTGGGAGGTAAGAGAAAGGCAACAGAACAGGAAGCTGAATGCAAGCCCGGAAGCAGTTTCCTCCAGGTTCCTGCTCTAAGTTTCTACCTTGACCTCCCTCAGTCATAGGTGATGGAGTGCGTCCTGTAAGATGAAATAAGCCCTTTCCTCCCTAAGCTGTTTTTTATCATGATGCTAATCACAGCAATAGAAAAGCAAAGTAGAACAAAGTAAAACACACATAAACTTTACAACCCTGTCATGTGGGATGTCACAAAAAGAGCTCTAAACAAAAGCCAAAAGCCTACGACCCACACCTCCGCTGGGCAAAACAGTAGAGCTGGCCCTGGTGGTGAGCCTGCAGGTGAGCCGGCCCCAAGGGCATGAGAGCCCTGGCCCTGCTCCTGGCTGCCGGCTGCCGTGGGTGAGCTAGCAGGGCATGCTGCAGAGCTCAGCCTGGTGGGGTTGACGGGGCAAAGCTGGCAGGCTGACCAGCCCAGCTACCACCCACACCCAGATCAGGACTATGAGCTGGCCCACCCAGCATCCACCTTATCTATGAACTGCTGGAGCACGTGAAGGGCCAGACCCGCACATCCAAAGGAGCCCCAGGGATTACCAGTGATGTAGTAGAAGCCAGAGGCCTCAAACCAGACCAGGGACTCATTGCAATGAACACTTACAAGCGAAGATGTACGAACTAAAGGGCAACTTTTTTTTTTTTTGTATGTTTGTTGGTTTGGGTTTTGCTTTTTGCTTATTTTTTATTTTCTTTTAACTTTTATGTTATTTTGTGGGGAGGTTGCAAGGGCAGAGGGCGGATGTAAAAGGACAAGGAGATGAGTGGGATCTGGATGCATGATGTGAAATCCGCAGTCAATTAAAAATAAAAAAGTGTAAAACAAAGCCAAAAGTTCTGCTTCCCACCACTCTCTACCACGGTCACTGCTACCTGTGGACACTGAACACTTGCGTGTGATTGGCTTCAAAGAGATCAGGAAAACAAGCACAGACTTCAGAACCTCAGTACAAAAGAAAGGGAGACACCTTACTCACAAACGCTACATCCTTGTTTACATAAACAACGACGGCTGGGACAGATGAATTCAAGTTCCTAACGCGAGGCTGGGTGATACATCTGCTACCCAGGCCATGGGAGGTCGGGGCAGAGAGACCAGGAGTTCAAGTCCAGCCTCAGTTACATAACACATCTGAGGGCAGCCTGGGCTACATGAGACTCTATACTTAAAAAAAAAAAAAGGCGAGGGCTGGAGAGATGGCTCAGAGGTTAAAGGCACTGGATGCTCTTCAAGAGGACCAGGGTTCAATTCCCAGCACCCATGTGGCAGCTCCCAACTGTCTGTAACTCCAGTTCCAGTATCCAATACCTTGTTCTGGCCTTCGTGGTACACACACACACACACACACACACACACACACACACACACACACACACACAATAAAAATAAATCTTTTTTTAAATGTCATTAAAATCACACATATTTATATTAGCATTTATGCAGACTACACACATAAAACTTGAAAGTAGTGTGTGAAGATATACGCAAAATGACACATGTTGTACAACTACATTTGTATGAAAAGGCTAGAACACATAAATCCACTGGGAAGGTACACTAGCAGCTACCAGGGGCTGGAGGAGAGGAAGACAGGTACCGAGTGTAGAGATCCTTTTGCCACAATGCAAATGTTCTAGAACTCAATAATGACAATGGCAGCTACCCCTGAGAAGATACTGAAGTATATATTTCAAAAGGGTGACTTCAATGGTATCTGAACCATATCTCAATAAAATTATTATTAAAAAATTAATTTTAGTTTACTTGGTTTTAAATGGGGCTTTTGGAAATTTTTCAATCATATGATATTTCTGCAGGATAGCACTGAACTACCACTTGCTGAATCTAGTGTGTGTGTGTGTGTGTGTGTGTGTGTGTGTGTGTATGTGTGTACATATGCCTGTGAATGCGGGCATACACCATCACATGCAAGAGGAGGTCAGAGGACGCCTTCAGGACTGGTCAATTTCTTTACTTTGCTGTCTGCCATTTCATATGCTGGGCTAGCTGGCCGGGAGCTCCCAGGCAGTCTCCTGACTTAGCTTCCCATCTTCCCATTGGCGCACTGAGGTTACGGACTTGTGCTACTGCACCCAGCTGTAAGTGGATTCTGATGACCCACACTCAAGTCTTCATGATTGCACAGCAAGTGCTCTACTCACTAAGTCATCCTCCCAGACCCCGAACTTAGTGTCTTGACGCTAATCACGTCTACTTGGACCTGTTTGTAACACAGTTCCCATTATTAACAATGAACATACTGCATGAATACAAACAGATTGTCCACCAGCATTGATCCCCTCAAACCGATTTTTAACAGAAGAACTTATTTTCAACTCAAGTTCCACCACTCCCTGAGTTTTCAAGGGTTTCACTATGAGTGAGGCTAAATGGAACAGCCTAGAAACAGGAAGACAGAACAAGCTAAAACTGTGATGTCCTCACCTCAATGGCCTGGGGGACCAGACATCTTCGAGGGCCGTGCGGCACACCTAACTGGCCAAAGGCATTGGATCCACATGACAGAACTTGACCTATTTCTGCAAAATATAAGTATTCAGATTACAAATCTAAGAAGTAAGACACCTGTGACTAACGGAGAAACAGGGATGAGAGGAGTCAAGAGGGGTCTTATGCCTCAAAGCCTCCTGGCCACTTTTATTCCTCCACACTAACGATCATCCGCCGTTCTGGTTTTGCTTTTGTTGTGGTTGTTTTGTTTTCTTCCAGACAGGGTTTTGCTATATTGTTCTGGAGCCTTTCCTGGAACTAGCTCTGTAGACCAAGCTGGCCTCGAACTCCCAGAGATCCGCCATTCTGTATCCTTAGTGGTAGATACTTACTCACACTTCACGCTTCCACCCTATTCCCATGCCCCGTTTGACAAATTCTGTGCAGTGTGGCCTTTCCTCCCGCCTGCCATTCCCCATCGGCTCACCCGAAGAGTCTGGGGAAAAGGACATGTATGGCTGGCACAGTGAGGGTCCCTGCCGTGAAACAAGTCTAGAGTTTGAAGAGCAAATTTGGATCAAAGGAATGTTAGAACCTCTGGGCTGCATAATGAACCCTGTGCTCCAATTTAAGCTGTAGTCATAAAACTTTGGTAGTCCGATTTCCGGCCCTGACTGCTCTGCGCCGTTCTCACAACTGGCTGCAATGTGCTGGGAAACGGTGCTCCCTTCTTCTGCCTCTTATGACCCTAACGAGGCCCAAAACAAGCACCTCACAAAGTGACAGCTAGCATGGAAATTCTTCATATGTAAGGAACTTTTTGTTTTCCGGAGCTAATCTAGCCAGGGCCTCGTACAAGCCCAGCAAGCGGCCTCCCCAGCCCATTTGGAGTCTGATAATTACTACCAAACTGGATACATACGGAACTCCTCTGCAAAAAAGAAAGAGGGGCAGCTGAGGAAGGTTGATACAGGGACAACAGGGCATGAGTCGGACAACAAGGGCTATTCTGGAGCAGGGGCCACTGGGCATTGCGACAAAGAAAAGTTCAGGGAGTGTGACAAGTAAGATGAAGGCAGCAGACACAGGAACCTCTGTAGAAGGTCATGTGCAAAAAGAACTTAGGACTTCCACTACACATGTAGGAATCCACAAGCACTGAGAGGCAGAAACTACAGGTGGTCCTGTAAACCCAGACTGGCCAGCTAGAAAGAACAAAGTTGAACAGAGAAATCAATTAACAGAGTAACAATACCAGCTGCTTCCAAAAGAATTATTCTAACAACCCTTTAGTCATATCTCATGCTGTTACCTGTCTCCATGGAGACCAGATGTTTTCAAAGGGAGATAGAGAAATAAGGCAGTGGTAGAGCCTATGCCTCGCACATGTGTAATCCTCAGGAATGTCACCATGAAAGCCCCTTGGTGGAAAAGACCTGTTCCGATTGCTGTGAAATCCCTACTCCCTCATAATCACCTTATGCTGGCCAGCTTTACCTCAGCTTGACACAAGCTGGCATCATTGGCGAGGAGGGAGCCTCAATTGAGAAAATGCCTCCATAAGATCTGGATATAGGGCTTTTTCTTAATCGGTGATTGATGGAAGAGGGCCCAGCCCATTGTGGGTGGTGCCATCCCTTGGCTCTATAAGAAAGCAGACTGAGCAAGCCATGGGGACCAAGCAGTCAGCATCCTCCATGGCCTCTGCATCAGCTCCTGCCTCCAAGCTCCTGCACTGCTTGAGTTTCTGTCCTGACTTCCTTTAGTGATGAACAGTGATGTGAAAGCAGAAGCCACTTTCCTACTCAAGTTGCTTTTGGTCATGGTGCTTCATCACAGTAATAGAAACCCTACCTAAGACACCTAGCACATTACCAATAATAACCCTTAATGACACTCCTGGCCAGCTTGACCAGGTGCATAGCTTTCGTGAACTTTTGGGACTAGCAATGACCACCTAAGAAGACCTAGTCCATCCCCTAGTCTCTGACAAACATATTCCAGCCTGATTTCCTCTATAGTTAAAATTCTCCTTGTTACAGGTAACCTGCCATTCCCTCACACAGCCATAGAGAACACTGATGGGTTGGGGGGGGGGGTTTGTTTCTTTTGTTTTTCTTCACAAGTACACAGGCTTTTATTTAACCAGCCCCCCTCCCCCATTACACTTCTATTACCCAAAGCCTTGGTGCTGATATTTATCCAAGAGTGAACTTACCTGTGAGCATGATGGTAAAATCCCAGCCACAGGCAACCTGTCGGATTGGACAACCAAGGAGAGGCTTGCTGATGGTAAAACACAGAACATCATCTGTGTGACCAAGCCCCAACTGCCCATCTTTATTCAGGCCACAAACAAAAAGGCTCCCTCCATCTGCAAAACAGAGAGCTCTGTTGGGTACCCTATCCCAACCCATCCCATCCCATCCCACCCCACTGTGAGCCCTGAGTCTGCATTCACATTAATTTAATAATGTGAGGAGAAGGATAGGAAGGAAGCGGCCAGGGGGATTTACAGTGTGCTGCTTTTTATGCTTTGGATGTGCAGAAGGATCTTTCAGGGATGCAGACAAGCACAGAGGGTAAGCTAGTTGCTACTCCCCCTCTCTGAGCATGCAGATTTTCACCCCAGCCTTTGAATCTCGAGTCTTATTTACAAACAGAACCACAGAGATTTAGTTATTGGCGGCAATGACAGAGCCTGGAGGAGGAACAGAATTCCCACCAGGCTGAGCAGGCCAGTGACTGTGGAGACCCGGTTGCTGGCTGAAATAGCAGCAGATTAAGGCACAGCCATTGTTAAAACAACAACATTCTAGTGCCAGCGTGCACAAGTAGAGTCACAACTCCCAAAGTGGGAAAAAGTTACCGTGCATTCTTTGGAGCCACAGACATGGGCTTTCTTGCCCATGTTAATGTTATTAAGTGATGCATGCTAACGTGTTCTGGAACCAAAGACATCAGGCCCAGGGCCTCAAGTCTGATGTATAATGGAAACTTCCAGTTCTGTAACAAGTGCCAATCAATCACCAAATGGAGCATCTATGATCACAGGAAAGCCACCACCAACTCAATACTTAGAATGTGCCAGGAGCTGCCCTAAGAGCTGAGCATGGCAGGCCTTTCCACACATGTCCATAATACTTTGAAAGGCCCATAGGGACAGCTTAATTTTAAACTGTTTTAAGGTGACTTTAGACAAGATCGGGCGCGTCCAGGGTGGTATGGCCGTAGACTTAAGGTGATTTTAATGTATCAATAACTCATATATAATTCAAATGCCACTTTGGGATATGGTTATTTTATATCAGTACAGTTGCAAAATATAATTTTTAGCATTTCTCTACAAAAGGAGGGAGGAATCCATGATGACAGGAACACCCGTAAAAGCCCTACACAACCCTGAAAATGCCCTGAGTTTATCTACTGTTATTATCCCCATGGGACAGGAGAAGAAAAAACTGAGTGAGCTAGTTAGCTTTTCCTACCCATTGACAAGTTACCATCCCCAGGAAGGAGTCTCAGTGAGAAGTTTCTAGACTGGGTTGACAGGGGAACGCACATGCCTTGTTATTAATTGAGATGGGAAACCCAATCTGAATGCGGGAAGCCCATTTCATGGGCTGGGCCCTTCACTGTGTTAGAGTGAGGAGAGCTGGGTGAACACAAGCAGCAAGCGGGCAAGGGTGCCTTTAGTGCCCTCTGTGCCTGGCTGTGGAGGCCATGCCTTTAATGCCCTCTGTGCCTGGCTGTGGAGGCCATGCTTTAAGTTCCAGCCTTGGCTCCCTGCAACACTGAAGTGTTTCCTAGTGTATCAAGTCAAGTCGGCCCCTTCTCCCCTCAGATGCTTTCGGTCGGGCGCTGCACCACTGCACCAGAAGTAAGCGTAGGACACTGCCATAGAGAGGGACTCGGCCAGAGCCACTGAGCTGGTGAACTACAGAGTGGGTCTGTGAACCTAGGGAATTTGAGTCACAGCTCCCATTCCTAACCAGATGCCTCGGCGAAGCTGAAGCATGTGGGGCATCCTCTGAGCACCAGGATGGAAAATTAAGGCCAAGGAAAGGATCTCGATCTCAAGGGATAGTTCACCTAGTTGCAAAGGCTGCACGGTAAAATTTACACAGGTTGTAACATGCCCACCCATTTGCCAGTGACCTTAACCCTTCCTCTCTGAGACTTATTTGTATAAGGGGGTAGGGAAAGGGAACTTCAAGAATGCGAAAGTTCAGGCTCTGACAAGCCAGAATTTTCCCTTAATGGTTATCTGGCTCTTTCACAAAAAAACAAGTACTGCTCTCTGACAAACACAAAAGACTAAGGCAAGGTAACATGCAAAGGGACACCTCCATACAAGAGCAAGCGGCTATCCATTTGAAAGGAGAGCTACCTGTGACAGCTGCAGAATGGCCCCCTCCTCCTGTGACACTCTTGATGCGCCCTGGCTCACGCAAGCTGCTCAGTCGCTGAGGCAGAAGCACATCTTCCTTGTGGCCAAGGCCAAGCTGCCCGTAGCTATTGGCACCCTGGGGATGAAACCAAAGAAAACTGTCAGCATCCATCTCCCCATCAGGGCCCCTCACCCAACACATCTCAGAGCCGCGACATTTCACACACCCATTCTCAGGAGGCTGCCTTGCACCAGCTACACCGGGAAGCCAGGCCCATCTGTGAGCACCATGATGTCTATTTCAGAGGCATTCTTGGCATCCCATCTTAGCCAACCATGTGGCTCACCTTTTCCTTCGGGTATGCAACCTTGCTCTAGTCTACTGCAGGCGGGAGAGGGGACCATTGATTCAGGGAAGGAACCAAGCAGAAGCCATGAAGAACACTACCTGTGTGGGACTCGATCTCTGGTTCCCTCCACTGGGCTTTCTTATACAGCCCAGGCCCATCAACCTGGGGATGGTACCACCCACAATGGGCCTTCCCACATCAACCAGCAACCAAAGCAATCTCTCACAGACACGCTCACAGCCCAACCTGACCAAGGCCTTCAACTGACATTTCTCTTCCTATGTTGCGTCACAAGGACAATAAAAAACCAATCAAGACTAAACTATCTTTGGGAATTAGCTCAAGGATTCCCTCTGATAAAAGCTAATTATCCAGGAAAAGAAAAGAATTAGGGGGTTGGGGGTGAGGGAAACGTTAGCAGGAACCACTATGGAATTAGTTTTGCATTCCCCTCCCCATACCCTCACTGGGACATAGGCAACGACTTTCTGTATTTACTCAGTTAGCTAAGGGTGCTGCATCCCTAATAGGAAGCATTGCAATTTCATCTGTCCAGTACAAGACCTAGGCAGTGATCTCTAGAGGGCCTTTTCAAGTACAGCATTGACAGCTCCAAGATTCAGATCCCTCTGTAGACCTACACTATCACACAGTACAGGTCTAGGGTACAGCAGACTGCTTGCCTAGCATGTTCCTGGGTTCCATCTCCAGCACTGGAAGAAATAAACAGTCTCTACTCTGAAATCTTTACAGCTAGGTTACCTAAACAGAACTCAGTACTTTTACAAATATGTATCACAAAGATGCTGTAAAGATGAAGGCAACGTCCATTAAGTGAAACCATAACATCTCCACAACAAAAGATATGCATACAATAGTGAACAGACGCCGTAACGAGTCTAAGACCCAGTATGTTCCGAGCTCTCAGAGCTTGTCATATTCAGTTAAACAAGAGGGACTGGGGACACACAAGGAAAATCTTCTTAACACTTCAGAAATTCCGCTCTGCAAGTATCTCCTCCCAAGCTGCTTCTTTTGGAGGTGAGTGCTAAAGCCATTTAAGGCCTGTTTTTTGAGGGCCCCTGAATGAGAACATGTGATGCAAAACAATTACCAAGGCAGGAAGCAAAACACACACCTCAAAGCGTCCTGTCTATTGGGTTTCCCCAGCCACCTTGAGCAGCAGGGCTCCAAGATGAAGATGGTGCTGTGGGAGGGGGCACAGGTCAAGAGGGCCTTGGGAACAACACAGCTCCAACTAAGTGTTTCTCTGCATGCCACAGACACCTTTAATCCTCACAGCTAAGGAGCATCAGCATTCATTTTACAGACAGGAAACTGAGGCCCGGGGAGGGCTTAGAGATCCATAGTAACACAACTGGGTGAGCAAGGTACAAATCCACTTCTTTCATTGGTTCTCAACCGTGTCAATAAGAAAATAAAGGAGTTTGTTTCCGAACCAGGCCAGAGGTTAAGGTGTATGACTCCAGACGACTGCTCACCTCCATCCCTTTATCCCCTTTCTGTTCTTTGTGGCATCCCTTGGCACTACAGGGTGTCCCGCCTACTTGACTAGTCTACCTCCTCTCCTGGAAACCACCAAGGCAGGGACTTGGTATTGCTCACAGCTCTTCTCCTAACCCTGAAACTGCACTGGCCAGGTGTGGAAGTCAGGCACAGGTCTCCACCCTGGAAAGGTCAAATCGACACTTGCAGAGTGAAGCAGAGAGCACACGCTGGAGTTTCTATCCACTCTGGCTGCCCCGCTGTTACCAGGTTTGCAGGATGAGGGACACCTGAGGGAGGGAGAGGCCCGGCAAGAACAATCTGAGATTCATGCTATGAACCAGTCTCTGTGGTGCAGCGAGAGGGCTTAAACCCAAGATAAAGCTGGGTAAAGGAAACTTTAATATACCTATGACTAGTACGTATACCTTCCTTCTTTGCAAAGGATCCAGACAAAACACACACACACACACACACACACACACACATACACACACACACACCCCTGCGAGAGGATGACGATGAATTGTGTTTCTCTGAAAGTTCTATGTTAGAGCCTGAACCTCTGACATATCACAATATAACTGTATTTAGAGATTTAACAGTCTTTAAAGTTAAGTGGTGAGACCGTAAGGGTGACACCCTAGTCCAGTCCGTGTAGTCTCCTAAGATACTAAGGATACCCATGCACAAAGAAACAACCACCGGAGGCCTTTGCAAAGAAACCAAAATGCCCACACCTTAATCTTGGACTTACTTGCAGCCTCCAGCACTGTGAGAGAGAAAATAAACTTCTGTTGTTTAAGAACCCAGTCTGTGGGTCTTTCTCATGGCAGCAGAAGCCATCCCAATTACGCAGCAGGAAGAATACCCCAGCAGGCCTCCAAGCACACTAGTAAAGGGAGGTTCAGCCCTGTTTCTGTCTCGGCCCATTCAAGGCCACATCTGAAAGGCTTTTTCTGTCACAGGTTTTTCCTCTGCCAAGAAGACAGCAGTCTCCTAGCTGGCAAATGACAGGCAGCGACACCATCATTTATTAACCCTGCCCCCACTTCAAGGGCCGCCTCAAGGAGCTGAGCCAGCTAGGCCACGGCATGCTCTCCCTTCCAAGAGCCTTACACTCAACAAGTGAAAGATGTGTCAATAAATACTAATTTTGGCAGAAACACGGGTGTTATAGCCTCCCCTAGCACAGGAACTGGAACCCTTTTACATCTATGTATTTCCCAAGCATTAACACATGGCTGTGCACACAGGTACTCATTCCTTCATTTCATCCATTCGTTCATTCATTCATTAATCAACATATATTTCCCTGGGGTCTCCAAGATGTCAGGCACCAAGAGAGACACTTGCTCAGTACTCATTCTCAGGACACCTCCGCTGCAGCCAAGGAGAATGCCGTTAACAAATCATGCATTCCATTACATTTTTTGGCATTTAATATTAATAACTGCAACACCCAACATATGCTTCCTGCCACGCATGTCCTCCACAATCGTGAGCATAAAGCCTCCTCTCCAGTCACACATAAGGATGATCATGGTTCTCTCAAAGCTCAGCGTCAAACCTAACCAGCCCAGACTCCCACACCCCCCCCAGAAAAGATAAAATCCGGTCACGCCATAGTAACAGCAAATACGCAGGGTCTGCGCCTCGCGCGGCCACACTCCACAGGCCTCACATTCAAAGGATGCTCCCCAGGGTGATGGCGCTGGAAAGGAGCCTTCCATCCCCCAGGCAAAATGAAGAAGGTTCGATGGTACAGGTGGCCCCACGAGCTCTGGCACCAAGCGATCTTCTCTCTGTCCAGCCTCCACGCTGTCTTCCCAGGCGCGCTGGTGGCCAAGGGCTTTCCCAGAATGGATGCTCTGCCCTGAAGGTAGGGTCCTCCCCAAGTGCCTCAGTCGCTGCGGTCCTCACCCCACAGCCAGCAGCAGGCCCGGCAGGCCCGGCGGGGAGACCCTCCCTCTGCACCCTCTCCTCCCTGGCGCAGCCCAGACTACTCCAACCCAGGACCCCGGCTTGGGCCTCTGCCTCCCAGCTCCTCCGCCACCCACGCAGACGCCGGGCGCCCCCGGGTCCCCGAACCCCTCGATCGCTTCCCGAGCGCGGGGGCGGAGCCACGTACCCAGGCGAAGAGCGCGGCCGCGCCGGAGTCAGCCTCCCACACTCCAGACTCGCTCGCCATGCACACGCTCCGCGGGCGCTTCCGGGAGGGGCCGGCGTGGGGCGGGGCCGGGACGCCAGGGGCGGGGCGGGGCGGGGCCGGGCCAGTGGGCGGGGCGGCGGAGGATGCTGAGGATAGTGCTTCCCTCTCCAGAGCGCAGGAACTCTGCCAAAGCTGCCACGCCTGACCTCGTGGCCTCCACACACACACACACACACACACACACACACACACACACGATTGGGAAGGTGTTCTGCACCCACACTCGTAATTCCGCATCACGCGCAGTCATCTAGAAAGCTCTCCACGTGCCCCATGCTGCCCAGAGCGGCTGACCTGACAGGGATGACGCAGCGTGATGGGGAAGGGAACTGAGCCCGAGGGTGGGCAGGGTCCAGTCTGGGAGTCTTCCCGGAGCTGTGCGTTTGGGAACCTGAGATTATTGGGTGGCGGTGGTCGCCTGCCTCCTAAGCCCAGCCCGGGGCGGGAATAAGCCCCCGGCAATACCCCTGGCGCTGGCTATTGTCTATGTTATCCCTGCGTTGTTCCTAACCTCCGCAACTGGCTGGCCTAATTCTGATCATCAGTATGACTAATTTTCATCCAAGATAGATTTTTCACGTAATAAGACGTTTATCGACACTGTCATGATACTGGTGGTAGTTAGATAGTACAATGTACCAATGCGCACTGGGAAAATGGAATTCGGAATTTGGAGGGGGATATAGTGTCACGTTTAAGGCAATGGTCTGTATTCCTAGCTCTGGCCTCTGCAGACGGGTCTCAGGGGCCTCATCCTGCTGAACATTTGCCAGGACAGCCCCTCCCCACTCCGTGACTGTGGCATCCTGAAGTAGGTGGTGATGCTTAGAAAGACCCCGACAAGCCAGGCAGAACTCCTCTACTCCGGAATCCCTGGGAGCCCCAGAGCAGTGCTTACCGGTTTGCTGTTGCGGTTTTGACCACTCCCTTCAAGCAGGATGCCACAGTCGGGAGTTGGGAGGGGCTGTCCTGGCAAAGGTTCAGCAGGCAGAAACAGAAGAGTGTGAGAACCCTGAACAGATGAGACTCTCCAGACACTTTCCAATAGGAGGGTCCAGGCAGATGATGAGGCCCCTGAGACTTGTCTGCAGAGGCCAGAGCTAGGAAAGCATTAATCTTGTATCCTGACACATTACTGAAGGTTTTTTTTTTTTTTTTTTTTTTTTTTTTTTAATCAGCTGTAGGAGTTCCCTGGTAGAGTTTTGTGGGTCACTTATGTATAGTATCACATCATCTGCAAATAGCAGAAGTTTGACTTTTTCCTTTCCAATTCGTATCCCCTTGATCTCCTTTTGTTGTCTTACTGCTCTAGCTAGGACTTCAATTACTATATTGAATAGATGTGGCTGGTGAGAGTTTACAGCCCTGTCTTGTTCCTGATTTTACAGGAATCGCTTTGAGTTTCTCTCCATTTAGTTTGATGTTGGGTGTCAGCTGTCAGCTTGCTGTATATTGCCTTTATTACTTTTAGGTATGTTCCCTGTATTCCTGATCTCTCCAGGACCTTTATCATGAAGGGGTGTTGGATTTAGTCAAAGGCTTTTCGGCATTCAATGAGATGATCATGTGGTCTTTTTTCTTTCAGTGTGTTTATATGGTGGATCACACTGACAGATTTTCATATCTTGAACCAACCCTGCATCTCTGGGATCTCTGGAATGAAGCCTCTTGGTCATGTTGGATGGTTTTTCTATGTGTTCTTGGATTTGGCTTGCCAGTATTTATTTATTCATGCATCAATGTTCATGAGGGAGACTTGTCTGAAATTCTCTTTTTGATGCATCTTTGTGTGGTTTGGATATCAGGGTAAATGTAGCCTCATAAAAAGAGTTTGGTAATGTGCTTTCTGTTTCTGTTGTGTGGAACAATTTGAGCAGTATTGGTATTAGCTCTTCTTTGAAATTCTGGTAGAATTCTGTGCTGAAACCATCTGACCCTGAACTTTGAGGAGGGATTTTAATGACTGTTTCTATTTCCTTGGGGGTAATAAATCTATTTAAATTGCTTATCTGATCTTGATTGAATTGTGGTATATGGTATCTATCCAGAAAATTTTCCATTTCTTTCAGATTTTCCAATTTTGTGGAGTATAGATTTTCAAAGTACGACCTGATGATTCTCTGAATTTTTTCAGTGTCTGTTGTCATGTCCCCATTTTTATTTCTGATTTTGTTAATTTGGATATTCTCTCTCTGCCTTTTGGTTAGTTTGGATAAGTGTTTTTCAATCTTGTTGATTTTCTCAAAGAACTGAATCTTTGCTTCATTGATTGTATTATTTTCTTCTACTACATTGATTTCAGTCCTGAGTTTGATTATTTCCTGCTCTATATTCTTCCTGGGTGAATTTGCTTCTTTTTTTTTTTCTAGAACTTTCAGGTGTGCTGTTAAGTTTCTAGTGTGGTATTTCTCCAAATTCTTTATATGGGCATGTAGTGCTATGAACTTCTCCTCTTAGTAGTGCTTTAATATTGTCTCATAAGTTTGAGTATGCTGTGCATTCATTTTCATTGAAATCTAGGAAGTCTTTAATTTCTTTCTTTATTTCTTCCTTGACCCAGTGGTGATTCAGTTGATTCATTGTTCAATTTCCATGAGTTTGTAGACTTTCTGTAATTTGTGCTGTTGAATTCTAACTTTAAACCATGGCAATCTGATAATATACGGGCATTTATTACATTTTTTGTATCTGTTAAGATTTGCTTTGTTACTGAATATGTGGTCAATCTTGGAGAAGGTTCCATGAGGTGTTTCTAAGTACATTCTTTTGTGTTTAGGTGGAATGCTCTATAGATGTCTGTTAAGTCCAAGTGAGTCATAACATCTGTTAGTTCCCTTGTTTCTCTGTTAAGTTTTTTTGTCTGGCAGACCTGTCCATTGGTGAGAATGTGGTGTTGAAGTCTCCCACTATTAGTGTGTGGGGTTTGATGGTGATTTAAGCTTTAGCTATGTTTCTTTTACAAATGCAAGAACCCTTGTATTTGGGACATAAATGTTCAGAATTCAGACTCCATCTTATTAGATTTTTCCTATGATGAATATGAAATGTTCTTATTTCTTTTGATTAATTTTAGTTTGAAGTCTATTTCATTAGATATTAGGATAGCTACACTAGCTTGTTTCTTAGGTCCATTTAATTATAAAATATTTTCCTAACCCTTTACTCAGAGGTAATGCCTGTCTTTGAAGTTGAGGTGTGTTTCTTGTATGCAGCAGAAGGATAGACCCTGTTTTTTTTATTCACTGTTAGCCTGTGTCTTTTTATAGGTGAATTGATTCCATTGATATTAAGGGATATTAAAGACCAGTGATTGTTAGTTTTATTTATTTATTTATTTATTTATTTATGTTTTGGTGGTGGTGGTGGTGATAGTATATGTGTGTTTCCCTTCTTTAGGATTTGCTGCGTGGGATTATTCATTGCCATGTTTTCATGGGTGCAGCTAACTTCCATGGGTGGGAGTTCTCCTTCTAGTACTTTCTGTAGGGCTGAATTTGTGGATAGATATTGTTTAAATCTGGTTTTGTCGCAGAGTACCTTGTTTTCTCCATCTATAGTTACTGAAAGTTTTGCTGGGTATAGTGTGGTCTTTTAGTAACTTCACAAATGTCTTTCCAGGACCTCTTGGCTTTCATAGTCTCCACTGAGAAGTCAGGTGTATATGTTAGTTGGCCTTTTCCCTTTGCAGCTCTTAGCATTCTTTCTTTATTTTGTATGTTTATTGTTTTGATTATTATGTGGTGAGGAGACTTTTTGATTTTTTTTTTTTTTTTTTTTGGTCCAGTCTACTTGGTGTTCTGTAAGCTTCATGTATTTTCATAGGCGTGTCCTTCTTTAGGTTGGGAAAGTTTTCTTCTATGAGTTTGTTGAATATGTCTTCTGTGCCTTTTGGCTAGACTTCTTCTTCTTCCCCCTTTATTCCATGGTGTTGAGATTTCCTGATGTTTTGTGTTAAGACTATTTTTGACTTAATTTTCTCCAGTAACTCAGTACAGGACACATAGCTCACATTCAGAGAAGGAACATGACAGGGAAGCCTTCCCAGGAAGTAGCGATGAGGGTCAGGTATGCTCAACTTTACCATGCCTCACAGCCATACACTTCAAAGAAGTGGAGTAGCATATGGGTTTTATTTTATTATTTGCATTTTCTAGAAAAAAATTTAAGTTAGTATACAGAGTAATGGGTTCTACTGTGGAACTTTTCATCCTTTGCTCTAATTTATTGTCCTCCCCCATCCAATCATCACCACTGCTAGGGTCTTTTAAACTAAGAAAATCGTCAACATAAAATTGAATCTGTTTTTAATGTATGTTTGCCAAAAATAAAAATACTTTTTGAGGAGCAAAATGGCTCAGCAGTTAAAGGTGAGGTGGCTAAGCCTGACAACTGGAGTTTGGTTTCTGGAGTGTGCATGCACACACACACACACACACACACACACACACACACACACAGAGAGACAAACACATAGACACACACATAGACACACAGACACACACATACACAGAGAGAGACACACACACAGACAGACAGACACACAGGCACACACATACACAGAAAGAGAGAGACACACACACACACACACAGACAGACACACAGGCACACACATACACAGAAAGAGAGACATACACGCACACAAACACATATAATGAAATTTTTAAATGCACTTTAAAATCTACACTTTTGAGAACATGGACTTGGAGTTTATTGTCCAGGGGAATAACAAACTTTTAAATTATAAATGTACATTACATAGTGCGATAAAGACAAGGGTGAATGGACCATAGCTATCATTATCCACTTCATGGACATTAACATACGGCCTCTGTTATGTATTGCTTTCGAGAAGCCCTGACTTTTTTCTTTCTCTGGAAGCCAACTTGCAAATGAGCGACGATTCTGTACATTTTGCTACTTATATAACTCCAGATGCCAAGACTGAAGTTATGGGACATAGGCATTCTGACGCTTTGCAT